ATCTTAGTATACAGATATGACGATGTTTTCAGCGGTATTATAAATCGTAATCAAAGATAGATAGATACCTGACTAGGTCTATAGGCCTAAAACATTGACTTAGCATTAAGTGCACGCACTTGTATGGAAGAAAAACTTTTCGATGGTCGCTTTTAAAACAAGAAATCACAAGCTGTTTCAGAAGGAAGCTCATCCACTAACCAGCATATTGAACCATTGTATGTATGTTTGTGTGTACATTTACACTATGCCGTAAGAAACTGCAAAAACTTCAACTGCGTCTGAACAATGACATCCAAGACGTTGGGCCCAGGTAGACGCAAGATGCGAAATCTTAAGAATGACAATAACATTTAACTTCACCGCATTTTGTACCTTACTGTATACGCCGTAGCCGCTAATATAAAATATATGAAAACACAATGACTTTTTTATTTTACTGGAAAAATTCAAGCAATTTAAACACTTATTGCAAAGTTTTAAAGCTTGAATTTAGTTAATTAGACGCTGGTTATGGCCAAAATACGTTAAATTGTATGCGGGAATAAAGGTAACAGCTGATTCCCACTATAACGGTTTTTCTTGGGCTCATTTTTGCTCAAAGCTTAAAATGGGCAAACTTGATGGTGATTTACGCATTTTAACGTTTGAAAACGTTGAAACAGTGAAATAATTCACGATAAAAGTAGTGTTAAATACATTAATATGCATTATTCTCGTGGGTGTCGTAAGAAGCGACAGGGGGATATTAAACAGGAGATGGGCAGCGCCATCTTCCTGATAATAAATCAAAATAATAATACAACCTCAAACTAGATGGAGTGGCGAAAATGAAAATATTTTATCTCACATTTATCTGTGTATACGTATCTATTTGAGTATTTATACATATATACATGCAAAATGTATTACAATTACATAGCTTGAGCTAGTTTTTCTTCGCGGTTTCCTTTTTGCCCGAATCCACCGCCCGCATGGCACATATGCCAGACGCTGATTGCTTACAAATAACGTTGCTTTTGTACGGTGGGGAAATAAAAAAATAAGAAAAGTGGAGCACTCATGTACTGTTACGCCGAAGAATTTGTTGCAAAATCATGCGATTGTTTATTTTAAACAATCAATATGTTATTTAAATTTTACATTTTATGAAATATATTTCCTTAATAAATAACATATAGTAATTTATTAACAATTCAAGAACATTCTTTCTATATATAAAAATCAATTGCTGTCCGTTAGTCTCGCTAAAACTTAAAAACGGCTGGACCGATTATGATATACCGAGTAAAAGAAAATTCAGGGACTCCCTGGATGATTTAGATTCACAATTAGACCCGGTAGGTGGCGTTGTTGTCGAGATAAAGAAATCCCCCGTTTGGAGCCGGGGCGGTTCGCCAGTATTTGATAAAAAATATAACGTCCTTTACATGATAAAGAGACAAAATTATACTTCTAGATTTACTTGATTAATCAATAATATGATTTCAGTTGCACAGGAATCATTGGTCGTTCTTTAAAAAAAAAACAATGAAAATATCATAATAACGTTACGTTAAATAACACAAGCAAACCCAAGTTGATGTTCTTGTGTTGTTCTAATATATAACGTTTTTATTGTTACTGGCTAGTAATAATTAAAAAAATATATTGTTTTGACACATTATTCTGGTTGACTATAGTTACATTTGCAATTTTTTATACTTATCTAATCTTTATATATAAAAATTACGTGTCACGTTGTTTGTCGCAGATGAACTCCTAAACTACTGAACAGATTTCAATGAAATTTTGCACTCTGTGCAGTTTGGTCCAACTTGAGAGATGGATACTTTTTATCCTGATAAGTGACACTCAATATTTTTTATTACGAATTTAAGGACTTTTTATATGAAGGGTCGTTGAAAAGGGCAGAACAACGTCTGCCTGGCCAGCTAGTATATTATATATCTCACCACATGTATATACTATGCTTGGTAGCCTGTATTTTTTTTATAGCAGAGGGGGCAAACGAGCATGCGGCTCACCTGATGGTAAGTGACTACCGCCGCCCATGAACAACCGCAACACCAGGGGAATTGCAGATGCGTTACGGCCTTTTAAAAAGGAGTAGGCTCTTTTCTTGAAGGTCCCTAAGTCGTATCGGTCCGGAAAAATCGCTGGTGGTAAACTATTCCACAAGGAAGTTGTGCGAGGAAGAAAAACATCTTCTAAATCGCACAGTGGTGGACCGCCAATCATCCAGATGGTGTGGTATAAACTAAACTGTATAAACCGTGACTAACATTAATCGTTATTAAGAAACACGCCGCAGTTTCACACATATCGATAATCTGAAATTAAATATCTTGAATACCACTTATGAGCGCGACACTCGTATGAACCCACTTAGAAGTAACGAGTTAATTTTAATAGCAGCATCTGTTAGAAGTTATCAGCATTTAATATTCCAACACTAATGGTGTGAAATGTTAATGCTAGTGTACTAAGGAGATGTGTTTATAGAACGTGAGTAGAAGTGGCTCATAATTATTATTGGAAAAAGGAAATCCCTTACAAAAATAGTATGGTAAATATTTCCTTAATGACATTCATTGCAGATGCCTTTCCTACAAAGGGCTTATTACTTACTATTTTTAATTTTAATTCATATATATCCGTAATTCTACACGTGTTTGCTCTAAACCTTAAGTGCATTAATTGCTTATAATAATCAACATTTTTTTTCGTTAAATAGAAACATGATTATCGATATGTATTTCGATAATTTTAACTGTTGTAAAATTTCGTAATATAAATTCTTCTTTACAATTACTTGTGGTTAAGAAAAACAATGCTGCATAGGTGCATTATACAATAAATCGTCGACATAAATCGCTCCATCACACATTCCTTATATATACGTAGTCGGACATGTTTTAATTGGATGAAAGGGGCTCGTGTTGGCATCGTATCGTATGTATCCATAGAGCGGCGTCGACTCTCGCACTAGCTAAAAAGACATCTAATTATTTAGACACTTCATTTACTTACTCAATTAGTAAGGCTGCGATCTCGCGCCGAGTGCCAATTAAAAAATAATAGAGGGCCCCGGCGTGCGAGCGAGAGGCTCGAGTGCTCTCGCTTGCGCGAGTGGCTTAGAGATGATCCCCGATTGATAGCTGACTGTTACATGATTGGCAGTTCCGCGCATTTTCGTGTACAGATAAAAAGTAGAGATTTTTTCTGATATTTAATCAAGCATTGTTTAAAAAAAAACACTATTTAGAGTTACATAAAAATTTAACGATCATTAGAACAATTTAAGTTATTGATGTTAGCTAAGTGATAGGCACGACAAATACTATGCACGACTAATAAAATGGGCTCTCATTTTATACATATTCTATAATGGTTATACTAAATTTTAGCTGAAGGGTAAAATGTATTAATAACTTTCGTTTCTAAAGTCAAAGGCTTAGTATGGCAAACCATTAATTTACTTTAAATAAAACTGAAGATCTATTCATCTTCAGTTTTATTTAATAACTAGCTAATACCCGCGACTTCGTCCGCGTTGCTTGCGCACATCACTGAACACGTAGTGCTTATAAAAATCGTTGTTCCTTAAAACTTTAATAATTTTATATTAAATGAAGGTATCGCATTTTTTTAAATAAGGGCCAAGCGTCTAGGAAATAAAACTTAGAAAACCTAATTGAAATCTATCTAGCTTTTCCGTGATACGTGCACAACTGCAAATGCAAACCTCTATCATTTTATTTATATAGATTTTGTAAAGTCAATAAAATATCTGGAACAAAATAGGCTTAGTATACAATGTTACATGCATTATAACGCATACCTACTGTATTTTTAAATACTATTTATATTAATTCCTGAAGACCATCTTCGCATTCAGACATCTCTACCATTCATACGACCTACTTAAAACCTGTTTTGCATTGAGATGTTAGCAAAATAAAAAAGTTTCAATCATAACGAACCCTAAAAGAACGGTAACAATCCTCGCGATGGAAACGCGAAAAACTGAATTAGCCCGTCTGAATGCGAACTCGTAAGTAATTAGCCCCGCGAGACTCTCGATCCGCCCGCACTTGTAAGCGAAGCGAAGCGAAGATGGCGCGGCGATGCGAAGCGCGCCAAGCGGAGTGAGCGAAAATGGCTAATCAAATCCTTTCCCGCCCTCGTCGGCACCAGAGTGCTTTTTATGTTTGCCATTGTGCCGTCAAGTGTCACAACGTGCATGTATTGGAAACGTCAATATGTTTATCGAGATTGTTATATTTTTTTATAACTGACTTTACGGCTCTGGGTTCTAGCCCTTCTGAGCCTGAAGTTACAATGTATAATTATCTTTCATAGTACACTGCTTCACAATATATTGATGCGTTACATTATGCAGCCCTTGGGAGATTTTGACGGCAACTTGAAACAGCAGACAGCTGACAGTTGGCGATGGTATCTCAAGGTGCCTAAGCAGACAGACACCTTATCTTGAGAATCACATCACCATCAGAGCACTTGTTTGACCGTTTCCACTAATAGTTCACATGTGCAGACACATAATACACAAAATCGCACCACTTTTACGTATCAAAATCCACTTCAAACCATTATTTAAATAATAGTATCTACAAGAGCAGCAATCCTCCATCGTTAAAGTTTCCGCCAAAACTCCCTTGAGATTGTTATGTAAGCTAAGGCCGCAGATTATATACGAGTTTATAATGAAGTTAATTTTACCTACTGGTTTGACAAAACTTTCAAATTTCTTTTCTGATATAACCAGGGTTAAAAAGTATTAGGTGTAATGTATGCAGCTTACTCTGTTAACTAATAAACAGTTGATTTGTGGTGAAAATCCATCCATATCGTTATACAGATGGTTTTAATTTAACGCAAAAATAAAGGGCCTGGTTGAGCTTTTTTATGTATATGTATGATGTACGATTGTATTACTATCAACTATTTGTAACAAATTTTCTCCTTGGTTTCAGGGAGTTCTACTATATCCAGATGGAAAAGTACGCGCGGCAAGCGATCAGCGAAGGCCTGAAGGCTGCGGATGACTTGCACGTGGCGGGTGACTCCGAGCTGTACAGAGTGCTCAATTTGCACTACAATAGAAACAACCACATTGAGGTAAGCGTAAGTATTTTTTATTTTGCGTGATATGACAGATATATGTTTTTGTATTCATAAAGGTCCCCAATAATGAGGATATCACAAACTGACTAATAAATATTGCGTAGTTACCAGTAAACTATTATAAAAAATTGCTTTACATAGATCCTCTAGATCTTCCATTAGACACTCTATTATCAGAAAATTTACTAAATTTATTATTAAATTAAATTTAATTAATTTTACTTTATTGCACACAACGCAAGGCAGAGATGCTCTATTGTCACTAAATCAAAAAATCGCGATCCACTGAACTTAAATCACATCCACTAGCTTCATATTGCACTTATAATATAATAAACACACCAATAGCAAGTGGAAATTTCAATTAATACTTACGTAGTTATAAGATTATTTATTTCGATTATTAATAAAAAAAAAGTTAATTGAAAATCATTTCACTTGGACGTTAGTTGGTCGGATATTTTAATCCATAAGAAGCATTTTGAATTTCACTATATATACCGTCCCGTTCATTAATTTTTTGACATTTTCTTTCGGTATTAAAATACAAATCACCGGTATTAAACAGTCAAAAAAAATTTATGTTTATTAAACAGAAACATTTTTTGTAGCTTTAAACGAAATATTTGTTTTGGTAATTCATCATCATCATCATTACAGCCCTTCATTAGTTCATTGCTGAACATAGGCTTCCCCCAAGAAATGCCACGTAGTACGGTCCTGAGCCACCTGCATCCATCTACTTCCTGCAGGTCGCCAATTAATAAATTTTCGGTAACTAATAAAAGTAAATTAATTATTATTCAAAACATTACATGAGCCTTCGAGGTGTGCACTTTTGAATTTTCCAATTTTTTTTTATTTTAACGAGTCGGACTTTGAGTATACAGACCCTTATTTTTTAATTTAAAATAAGTATTATTTACGGTTGTCAAACAAAAATTAAAATATTCTTGTCAAGGCAATGCAATACCCTATTAGAAAGAAACAAATCTGGAAGATACTATATTTATCATCATTATCACAAAATCACTTTTCCAATCACAGATAATAACATAAATTAATTTCAAAGGATCCATCATCTGATTTTAGCACATGAGTAACATAAAATTCGATAAAGGGAAATAGGAGGAAATGCTCTATAATCAGAAAGATGCACGACGTGTTGGCAGCTTTTTATCATTTTGAATTTTTATCAAGAAAATGGTGCTGCTCAACTCCTGTTTCAATTATCTCTGTCACCTCTTACGACACCCACAGGATGTAATCGGGTCAATATACCCGAACTGTGAACTCTCTTACATTGTCATCCTATGGCGGAGACAAGGTTTTCAAAGAACAGTCTCGTCCCGTACAGTATATTAACTGCTTAAGTTTAGAATGTTTTGTTGTTTTTATTTGATTTTCACCTTTATATCCTAGTCCTTTCGATCGTATTTTTATTTTAGATTTCCTTTTATATTTCCGTTTGTTAGCACGCCTCGATTGGCCGAAAATTGTCAACCTTTACCTCGTCATAATTATTTCGGAATAATTAACGTTAATCATAGTCATTAGTACAATAGAGCAGGGTTATTTTTCGATCCACGAACAAAGAATTTAAACATTATCTTTATACTGATAGCCTATGTAAAAGTCCACTGCCGAACATAGGGATCCTAAACAGTTTGAAAGCCCATGAAAATTAAGAAAATCCAAACCGAATGCTTATAAGTTTCTTCGTCTTTCCAGGTTCCACCAAACTTCAGATACGTGGTTGAGCAAACCCTCCGCGAGTTCTTCCGCGCAATCCAAGGCGGGAAGGACACGGAGCAGAGCTGGAAGAAGTCCATCTACAAAGTGATCTCGCGGCTCGACGACCCCGTCCCGGAGTACTTCAAGTCACCGAACTTTCTCGAACAGCTCGAATGAGCACCACGTCGCCTCGACGCACACATTGTTTCGGCCAACGAAATTTTCGGAAAAATATTAAATTAAGAAGAAAACGAAACAAAAAGATTGGACGATATCGTTTCGCACACCAAAATTTTACGACACTCGCATTTAGGCCTTCAGATTCAAAATTATTAATAAAAAAGTTTAATTAAATTATTAAAAAAATAAATAATTTGAACGTCAACGTCGAGCGGCGTGGCCCTGCCCGCGCTCCACTAGGAAATTCATTAGGTTATACGAGTAAGAGAAAATTTTAAGTCACCTAGAATTTTATTTCTGCACATATAATATATTTCGCTATATATAATTATTATTATATTATTAAGTATTATCTTAAAATGGTTTTTATAGTTGTATATCTTAAAATCATTTATTGATTTATTCTTTAAGGAAAAAAGTCGATTAATATATTAACTGCTTAAGTTTTGAATGTTTTGTTGTTTTTATTTGATTTTCACCTATATATCCTAGTCCTTTCGATCGTATTTTTATTTTAGATTTCCTTTTATATTTCCGTTTGTTGGCACGCCTCGAGTGGCCGAAAATTGTCAACCTTTACCTCGTCATAATTATTTTAGGAATAATTAACGTTAACCATAGTCATTAGTACAATAGAGCAGGGTTATTTTTCGATCCACAAACAAAGATTTTAAACATTATTTTTATACTGATAGCCGGTTATAAGTTCGTGCAGGATTTTCAATAGTATTAAATATTAAACTGACATCGAAATTCGAAAAAATTAAACATCTTGATTTTGTATTAATGTAAACATCCTCGTTTGTATTTTCCACATTTCGGCGAAGTTCGGCAAAATGATTTCAGTTGGTCCGGTACGTCTGCGAAACCGCTCGCCCCGGACATAGGGTTAAGTTTATTTGTTAGATAAAAGTACTATATTCCGAAGTTAATACGTGGGTGTTCTAATGTCAAATCTTAGCCGCTAGTACGGAGCGATTGCTTGTGTCATAATGTTAAAATATCACATTTCAAATATATAAGAAACTTATTTAATCATAGCAATATAACAGTTTTAAAACAATATAATGTTACGATACGGGTCTTCAAATTTACAATGGGGTTTTCGAAATTCTTATTGACATCTGTGGCCACGCAATCGCTCCGAATGAGGATGTCTTGCGGCCCTCGACATAACCCACACTCGCACAAGCGCAATAGTTGAAGGCAACATACCATAACCGAACCGATCACACACATACAAAACACACACAATAATACTTTGGCTGCATACGAAACACAAAAACGCACGGGGCCACCTCGTCCGATCAGAAGTGCCTTCAAAAGAAATATGTTGATTTTTTACGAGAAAATTAAATAAGAATACAAAGGGCCCTCAATAGAAACTCCCGCCGAAAGCAAGCCGCTGACGTCCGCGAGCACAACACCCACGTGTTAGTTCGGCGTACCGAACAACAAGTATACATACACTTACTATTATACTATAGAAGAATAATTAGTTTCATTCGTAGATATATGTAGCGCGGTGGATCCGAACTCGCTCGTGGTCGGTAGGTACTGAGACTGGAGGAAGCCAAAACGCAGCTGGCTCGGTAAAGATGGCGCCCAACAGCGAGTTCGCTTCGACCGCATATCTCGATGTATTTGTTATAACATGTAGAAGCCGGCCACCTACCCAGCAACGCGGCAACAGACCTTCAGTTCACATCCTCAGTTCTACAGGACGTAACAAATATATTTTCGCTTCTCACTATAGACTATACAAATAAGATAGGGTAGTGTACAGAGATATATAGCGACGTGTAAATAATACCATAATTTTATTACAGAGGAGTTGATAACGGTGTAAACTATCTTAGCGCTAACGGAATTTAATTAAGGCACGAGAATGACAAACGGTTATCGCGAAATGATTTGCGGAATTGTAAAAGTTATACCATCCTTAGTTTCGAGTAGTACCCGCGCTGGGCGGGCGGCCGGCCCTAGTTAAGCAGGTGTAAGCATTTTTCATTTGGTATTACACTTTGTTATCGTTTCATTTGTAACCAATTGAACTATTATGGTAATATAAGAGTACCTCAATTTAGGATGGACCAGGCGTCGACTGGTGTGCTTAGAGTAGCGTTCAGGTTAGTCGTGAGAGCCAGAGATATGGAACCCTTAAGACATTGACACATAGAAATAAACCGCAGCCTCTATCCATTCAATGAACCGGTTTTCAGTTCGAAATTTCTCTTCCGATCACCCCACAAGGTGTATCCTAACATCCACCCCTCCACAGCAATAGCCCGGGTTAATTTTCCACGAATTGCGTCGTTTTGCCGGTATGTATATTGTATACGCAGTCGCCGCAGGGCTTATTCGTGAACGAACAACGTTCCATGTTACGTTAACCATTATGTTTTGTTACGATTTGTTATCTGTTTCGTTCGTACCGTAACTCGTGGCGTTTCATAGCTGAGAATGTAGAAAACGTACCCGTTCATAAGACAAACGTGTCATGAATTGATTGTTAATGGAATTGAGTATTCAGAGTAGATTGTATGTAGACACTTCACTATCTTTTCAGCTCTGTAACGACGCAAGTATTAATTCCTTGTATAGTATGTAATGAATTCGTTATTCCGATCTCTCCATAGATTTCTTCATTAATTATCTAATATTAATGTTAAAGCAGGCTACAAAACACATATTACAATAGAAAAGTATTGATTTTCCATCAACAGAGTACAACCGACATGCCGTTATTTGCAGATACTCGGAGCCGTTCAATCTTTGTTTTACGATATTGATGACAAGGTTAAATCAACATATTTTTCTTTCATTACAATAAAAAGTTGTATTTTTGTCCGGATTTTATACTTTATTGAATCACTGTGCAGCAGCCGCCAAAGACCACAATGGATATAATAAAGATCGAGCCGACTTTATGTTCTTCGATTATCCGATTAAAAGTTCTAAGTTATCGGTTGACAATTTTTCTAAATTAATGTAAAGACTCAAGTTTGAAACATCGAAATATTTAGTCCACAGTGATCATGGGGCTATCCCGCTGAAAAAGTACAAAATTCGGTGTTGACTTTAAAGCTCATGTTGTAACTATATGTAACTTATTGTAGATTATAAAAAAATGTCCTTTTGGTGACGTCATTTCATATTGTTTCGACATTTTGTAAGTAGGTGATGATAGTTTATTTATGTTCTATGAAATTGTATCTGACGTTTATTTCTTAGTATTTTCGAATCCGTCTATGAAATGTTTGAATTTTCGATGTAAAATGAAATATCTAATTATTTTTCAAAATTATAAACAAAAATAATCAATATATGTAGAATATATTTGGTTTCACGTTCGGGTATTATGGTTCCTAAATTTTCGAAATTGTAATAGACTCTATTGTAGGTATGTAGTATTTCGTTTTGGAAGTTAGAAAACATTTAGATGTACCAAATAGCTGTATCAAGTTTTCTATATGTGAAACAATTCAATAAGTGAAATGCTGAAAATTAGTTAGTTACAAGATAAGTACCGTTCGTTAATAATATTTGATAAAAAAAAATATCAAAACTGAGCACGGATATACTATTAGAGGGTCTCGAAACAATTACTGCCGACGCTTATCAGGTAATATAGGTAAGATAAACTCGAACGCCTATCATTTTGACAGTTCGTCAAAACACAAATCACTTAAATTCTAAATGATCGTTGACAGAGCGTTCGTAATTTTGTATTTCGAAATAACCAGTAGTGAATAAAGAATATTTTCAATATCCTTGTGGTCTTCACTCGTAACAGCGATACGCGTTCATTTTATATTCTTGTGTGTTTATACGTTAAGATGTGTTATTACGTTGTTTGAGTTTTTGGTAAGGCGCAGTCATCTGCGGTGCCAATTCGTATAATATATTTGTAAATTACAGCGAGCGGACGCGGTTGCCAGTGATAAAAATTATTACAAAATTTAAAATTCAAAATTACATTTTATAAGGGCGACACTTTCTTTTGTCCGAAGTGGTTGATGCCTGAACACTGTTGTGAGGACATCAACGCAAATCGGACAAAAGAAATGCGTCAATAAATGAAATTGAAAAAATTAGAATTTAGGCGTTCCTTTCGATATCCTCGCATTTCGGCTAAGTAATTAGGGCCCGCGTCCGCTTGTTTCGATATATTTAGTACAAATTTCATGATGTTAAGGTTACGAGGCTCAAAGCTTTTCTTTTGAGGTGCCCGCGCCACCGCCCTCCCCCGCACCGACGATATAAATGATTCTTGTAAAAATTTTATTCAAAAGAGTATTTTTGTATTGAATATTTCTAAAAGTTGGTGTAAAGATCAAAATTTCATAAATTATAACGATGACAAAGAAGGGCATTAGGTAATTTTAGGATGTCATGCGTTTTTTGTATTTAATTTTAAGAATAGTATCGGATATTAAACGTTTAGGAAGCATTTAACCATTTGTAAATAAAAAGTTTACCGGTGCTGGCGTGGGGCGGCGCTGCGGTCCGCCGGTTATATAGATAAAAAAAATATTATAAATGACTAAAAGATGTTTATATGGTTCTGGATGTAAAAAGATAAATTTAAAAGCAATTTTAAGGTGAAAAGTGGAAAAAATAATAATAATGTAAACGATTCCTCGGTATTTGTCTAAGAATGGCTGCTAGCGGGTCACTATTGTAATCTGTGGGCCTCAGACAAAACATACCTAAGGTCTATTGTCACGAAAACTAACCTAACCTAACTACGCATTAATTATTACGGTTCTTAATACTAGAACAACACTTATACATTTAATATAATATCACATTGTCATAATGCTTATAATTTACGAGCGTGTGTCTTTGTCCGTGAATGTTTAGGATCTAACCACTGTTCGATGTATTAGACATGAAGTGGATTTATTGTGGGTGAAAAAAAAATGTAACTAAATTAAAACTAACTGCCCAACGATCGACAGATTGTTGCGGATTGCTTTCAAACATTGGTATAC